TTCCATTCGTGATCCCATAGTGACCGTTGTCTGCACCACTCAAGGCGATTACGTCGGTGTTCTCGAGTTAAAGGGAGGACCCAGTGTGGCCGGTATGAAAACAAGCCAAAACTTCTCATTCGTCGGTAAACACTTCGCATGCCAATAGGTCTTCCGTGTTCTGCAAACCATTCATTTGAATTGGACCTGGTAGTGGAGAAACGGTAAAGGATGTCAAGAACCAAAATCCGCCAACGTTGATTCTTTACTGCGGCTGAAATATTTATTTTTAGAGCGTTAGAGAATTAAAAAAAAGCAGTATAAAAACCGGAATGTTATTAAAATAAAACCATTTAAACTGGGTGTTCGGATTTATATGTCACTTAGTAGTGAAGCATGACTCATCGGTCCATAAAACGTTACTTAAAAACTCCCTATTATTATCAGTTCTATCAAGAATCCACTGACAAAATGTGATTCTTCGTTCTCCATCCCCTGGCTGTAGTCCTTGCACAGGTTGCAAATGGTAAGGACGTCTATGGTCATTTCTAAGAACACGGTGAACATGGCTTGCTGAAATTCCCAAGGCACCAGAAACTCTCCTATCACTTGTGGTCGGATCTCTATCAAAGTCACGCAGAATCATACGGGTAAATCTACGCTGACGAACATTTATGTTTTGATCCCTTTGGAGATTTCCAAAACCATTTTCAATTATTTGGCGATGCACTCTTACAAATACTGAGCGAGTTGGATGTTGTCTGTTTGGAAATCTTCGTGCGTATTCTCTGGCTGCTTCTGCTGCGTTTCCATTTACAAAGCCATACATAAAATGAATATCCGCTAACTCTTGATTGGAGAATAAAAATGGCATTTTTAAAAAATTTACAAAAAAAAACAGGTAAAAGAAACTAAATTTCGTGCATTCACAATTGCAAAAAAACGTTTCAGGTTTCAACAGACAACAAAACTAACTGTCAACTAATTGACGTTTAACCTTATTCTGCTTTCAATTTCAAAAATATTTGCAGGCACAGCCTACTTCTAAAAATTATCGAGATACTGACTTTTTAACGTTATTTTATCATAAATAATTAACAATGCATCGACCTATAAAAATCGAAATATCTCAAAAACGGCTAACTATAACAAAAATTCACAAGAGAGCTTTTTTATGTTGAAAAGTGCAAAGAATCAGTTTTTTTATTCAAAAAGCAAAAAATTGCACTAAGGAAAAATTTTCGGTCATTTTAATACACTACAGGTACAGTAGAGAGCGCCCTCTAGTGGTTACAGTAAAACTATGCCAATGGTTCGTTTTGTCGTACCAAAAAACCCTTGTATACCAATTTTCACTATTATACATCAAATATTGTTCGAAATATTTAAAAAAAACTATTTTAGAAAGTAAATTTAAACACCCTGTATTTCGGAAGCCACGCATTTTTCGACCCATGTTTATATAGACTTTATGCTTTAATTTTAAAAGTTCTATCGAATCTTAAAGTTATGCAACAATATACTGAAATACCCTGTATATTAGTGATTGCTCAAAATGCCTATTGTTGAAATGCCTATCACTATGTAATATGTATTTGGAAAATTAAACAAATAAAATAACGTTCATTTTTGTATTACGTATTATCAATATTCAAATTCAGATTATTTATTATCGTTTAGACATTGAGATGTATGTTAAGGATTCGTCTTACAATTCTAACAATAAATAAAAAAGAAAATGTATATGACAAGCAACAAACAAAATGAAAATTTTAAACAAACAAATTCTGAGACGGCATATTAACATTCAGATAACAGGAATTCTTTCAATTTCGCGTTAAACTGATTGATATTGGTTGAGCTGTTTTTTTTTGGGAAAGTCTTATTTAATTCTGTTCTTATACATATATTTATAGAAAACTGGTGTATCTGTTTTGAGCGTTCGCGCTATACGAAAATATACTTTTTCTCCCACAGATTTTGTCTTAGAATCTCAATGACACTTTCTACCGATTTCGTGCTTTTTGGTTTGGCAACGCTGTTTGCATGCACCTAGCCGCCCATACGAATTTTTCTCAGGGCGGGCCGATCACCGACAAGAGATAACTTTTTGTGAAAGTGTACCTGCGCCTAAATCCTTTTGAAGCGCGGGGGGTATCACATTTTCCCAGTGGGGCAAATCCTAAAAATCCTCAAAATTGTACAGACAATCGTTCCAAATATGCAAAATTTGCAATCAAGTATCATGTAGTTTGAACATGCCTAACCCCAAGTCAAGTAGAACAAATGAAGTCGAATCATTAACGTTTCACATAGTTTGTTTTTCAAGTAGTTTATAAGAATATCAAACTACTTGACTTGATGAATTCTAGACATTCGTCGCTTTGATCTCTTTTTAGATAGCTCCACCAGCTAGAGTCAAACAGAAACACTATTTTTTTATAAATTCATCTCCTGTCACAAACACCTTCCATGTCAGTTTGTCACCAGCTCTCATCTTGCCCATAAAAGATTCTTATCGCAGCGACAAGCGAACAGACGGACGTATATTATCCTTATCCGAATCCACCGGAATACTACTGACCCTCTCTCAAGGTCCAGGCCAACTGGGATGTGATACACATCAGCGGCGGCTGACAAACAAAAGAACGCCGACGACATTCATTTGCATAATGGCGCGTAACCAATCATCCAGTGGGCTGTGATTTGTGCCTGACGCGATGCACCGTGGCTTGCTTTGATGCGATTACGCGGTTCGCTTATAAAACGTCCTTTTCGGAATTATATGTATCATGGGGAAAATATCAGAGTTGGATTGATGATCGTGCTCTTTTTCCCCAGCCGCAAGAAAAAATAGTTTTTTTCGATCGCCGCGGGACACGCAAAGCTAGTACACTCTTGCTTGCTCGACTGTTAGAAATTGACAGATTTTCCTATCTAGGGCGACGAAGCAAGAATGCAAGATGTTGCATCTTTCTGTGTTTTACTAGTTGTAACTTGCGTTTGGCAATAATTCATAGAAATCTATTGCAGTTTTTATATTTTCAAGTTATTATTATTATTATTATTATTATTATTATTACTAAACAACAAATTTGAGTTGAGTACAAGTACTATATACTCAAACACATAATAGATAATAGTGTACAGACAAGAGAAATATAAAAATTTGAGAATCTTAGCACTTCTGAAGTAGACATATACAGAATAGGAACAATATGTTAAGCACTGCGGTGTCTATCATAATTGTTTTTGAAACTGTTGACGGATGCCGATTTGACTGCATAAGATGGAAGGCTGTTCCATGCATCTATTGCTTAACTCCTGAGGTAATTCTTATAACGTTTACATAAACTCTTATGAGAATCATTATATTGTCTTTAATTGCTTCAATTTTCGTCGGGTACAGATTTATGGAAAAGCTTAAAAATTGTTATGTTATGTAATTTAGAATATTTGGCTCAAAAATGTTTAATCCATTTCATTGAGATTTGTCTTTTTATTATGAAATCGTTTGTTTTATATTATGTATTGGCTTAATACTAGTGAGTTTGAAATGACTATTTTAAATTATGTATTACACAGCCGGTCATCATAGGTAGTATAAATGGCAACATTGGCTTGACGGTGCCTGCCTAAATAAGGGATTTGACCTGTAATGTAACCCCCTAAGCCAGATTTCCTAAATCATATCAGTCAATTTGGGCCTATAACACCATGGAAAAATAAACCGGTTCCGCCAATCAACCTGCCTAACATGCACATGACGTATACAAATGGTTATAATCGTGGAGGATATGCTACTTCCAGGACGCTAGCATTTAAGGTACCGATATGTGGCAATAAATGAAAGCTATTAATTTAGAACTATAACCTGAGACAAAAATGAATTGTGGCAGCACAGTTAGCTTCAAAAGCTATTTAATAAAATTCAGCAAAAGCATCTTTATGCTGTTTGGTATAAACAAGAATAATAATAGTAACATTTATTATCCACCTGGCATGAAAATACATGTATTGAATTTGTCACAAATAAATATTTACAAACTAATAAATCCACTGATGGCGAAATAACATTTATCTGGTGAATAGTTCTTCAAACGTTTTCTAAAGCAGTTGATAGACTGACTACACTTAACTTCTTGGAGAAGTTTATTATAAATTCTAGGTCTCAACACATTTGACTTTCTTGCAAATTATATTTGGCGATAGGTATATGTAGTTGGGCGCTTTGCCTTGTACTAACTTCATGGATGTGCTTATTTAATAAAACATTAGGTTGGTTCGAGAGGAAGTGTATGACCATCTCGAAAAAAAAAATAATGAGGGCAAGGTGAGTATACGGTATTTATTGAACAAACCCCTATAACTATGACTAGAGTCCATACCTGTCATAAATCTTGAATCTCTTCTTTGACACATAAAGGCATGTTTGGCATATGATGCGTAGCCCCAGAAGCACCGTCAGCATTTGAATCGAGATTCCACTTGAGCATGATATATTGTTACTAATAATTGCTGCAATGTTAAAGCCGTTATCAAGTTTTTCATAATAAATGTCCGTGAATTTAGCTATGCAACTACGAAGTCACAGTGCATTCTAAAGCTAATATCGTCATCAAAAAGTCCCACATCACAAGCTGGACATATCTATAACGTGCCAGTGACTAGATCAGCTGTTCCTACAAAATATTGTTGACTATCGTTTCGTTGCTGATAAAAAGCCTAAAGCATAGCCACTACTTGTTGTCAGAATACGAACTGGGGCTTGGTAAAATTAACTATGAATTGGTGGTCATATCGCAAAGGATTAAAATTTGACCGTTTGGACACACGCAGCATTGAAACGGTGAGTTTTTAAGATATTTGGCACGTATAGTCCGATTTTGTTACGTTGGCGTGTTAAGTGTGAATGAATCTTATATCCGACTCTGCTCTTCTAAATCTCCTGGATACACGAATTCATCTATGAAGTATCGCGATTGACACTAAGAATCCTGATCTACATTCTTTTGTTACAGCCAGTAGGGAGACTGCCTTCGCCCACGCATTGGCGGCAGCAGGAGTGGTTCATTCAGTTTCCAGAGCCTGCCGCGATGGGCAACTGTCCTCTTGCGGGTGTAGCAGGATGGGCAGGCCAAAGGACCTCAGGAAAGACTGGGTTTGGGGCGGATGTGGAGACAACTTGGAATACGGATACAAGTAAGTCTTGGACCAACGTATTTCCTGCGCTTTGCTTTTTCACTCTGTTTTCTTATTTCTACCCGTCCTTCTTGTATCTGGATAGACAGACCTGATAATACTGACCTACAATAATCTAACGAAGTAAGGGCAAAGGTTATGCGAATCTTGTTTCCTAGATCTTCAAAAGGCTTTCGATTCAGTATCTCATACAATTTTATTAAAGAAACTAGAAAGTGTTGGAGTGCGTAGCGGAGTTCTGAACTTATTTGAGAACTATTTGGCCGATCGATTACAACAAGTTAAGGTAGGGTCAGATTTAAGCAACATTCAAAAGATCAAAATAGGTGTGCCTCAGGGGACGGTTTTGGCACCAACACACCTCATATACATAAATGAACTACTTCGATGTAATTTCAACTGTAAAATGATATCATAGATATCAGACGATAGTGTTTTAGTTTGCACTGGTCATTCATAGGATGACGTAATACGGAATGCCGAGCTGTCATTAAATAAAGTCAAATGCTGGTTGGATAACAATTTAGTTAAACTTAATATCTCTAAAACTAAGTATGTAACGTTTTCTCCAACCAAAGCAGGCATGCCATTACACCACCGACCATTAATTATAAATGATAGTGCTGACACTGTCGAAAGAGTTGAAGTTATTAGATACTTAGGAATCACTATTGACAGTAATTTAAAATGGCAGAGTCATGCCGAGCTTTTGGCATCGAAAATAAGGAGAATTATTCATAAGTTTTTCATTCTTAGGAATATTTTAAGCAGAAATAGTCTTCTCTCAATATATAACTCGTTTGTGGGGTCTCTACTAACTTACGGGACAAGTATTTGGGGAGCCGCATACACTAGTACTTTAAAAATACTACAAACCACGCAAAATTATATTGTCAGGACTAGTTTTCGTATCCCATGTAGGTCAAGTTGCAGATTTGTTTACATTGAAAATGATCTTTTGAATGTTAGAGGTTTATATATTTTTGCTGCTCTAAAATTTGTTCGCTCCCGAAACAATGTTCCAACCAGCCACGCTTATGAAACAAGAACTAAAATAAATATAAGTTACACCTATACCAGAGTGAATAAATCTGTTTGCCAAAAATGCATAAAGTTTGATGGTATTAGGTTGTATAATAATATACCCATAGAATATAAAATCCTCTCAAAGTATAGTTTCAAAAAAAGAATTAAGAAGTTCATCTTAAATAACTGACATGCTTGCATCGACGGTAGCTTGACTCAACTCAGTAATTTCGTTTCCATCTAATGTTTTTTTCATTTCTTTTTTGTTATATATATTTGCTCATAATATACCTTATAACCATTAGCCATGCATTGAATTTGTATATTGTATGACACACACACAAGCTTATAGCTTAGGTGTCTATTCTTTTGTAGTAAATTCTCTTGTAGTAAATTGTAGTGCTTTTGTTTCTCTGCTTAACCTTTACGCAAAATTTTTATTGTTTAAACAACATAGTTTGACCTTACTCGAAATATCCCTATATTATCATATTTCAGATAGTCATATTTTATGTACTCTATATTTATACTTCTGAGTGTTTTTAGTATGCTTCTGTACTACTATGTGAATTTTAGATTTGTTTATGCAGACACGTAATTTAGGATTTGTGACGACAAGATTCAGACATTTGCCTTTTACGAAAGTATACAGAATTTTCACAATTCATATACCGTTACTTGCTGGTTCTAGATCTGATGCTAGTATCTCTGCTCAGATTTCTGTTGCAATCTTGGTTATTCAGGGTAGCAAGAGTATACAAGCTCATGTATTCTTGAAGCTTTTTTTTTATTTAAATTGTACTGTACTGAAGGTAGCTTTTTTTAATTTGTAAGTTATATTGGTTTTTGAATTTGAATTTGAAACTTTGTTTTAACTGCGAACTGCGAAGGGTTTTGCCATATACCGTTCTTAGAATAAAATGTACTCATATTATTATTATTATTATTATTAAGTAAGTCTTGGAACCTTTCGAGCAATGTATTTCCTGCGCTTTGCTTTTTCACTCTGTTTTCTTATTTCTACCCGTCCTTCTTGTATCTGGATAGACAGACCTGATAATACTGACCTACAATAATCTAACGAAGTAAGGACAAAGGTTATACGAATCTTTGGTGTAGTCAAAATTTACTTACTTGGATCAGATGCAGCTCTCAAAGCGAATCAGAGTGATGACGTTTTTGAGACACGTAAAACTGCTTATAAAAAGCTGTATATGACAATCAGAAGCTTTTTGTTGGAACGAACCCACTACTAGGTGCTTTAATTTTGAATTTGATATCGACCTCCAAGATAAAGGCTTCTTTTGACGAAATTTCTGAAAATGAACTGAAGGTGAAATGCGAGTATCTCATAATTCGAAAATTAAGAAGAACTTTCAGAAGATGGTACTGGTCCGGTGACAACCTAGGATTTTTTAAAATGAAGACCGAACGATAAGAAGTAGGAAATGTCACAGTCACTTAGCCTAAATCTTGTGTTTTTGAATCAGACTTTATAAAAATCCTGCATACAAAAAAATACATATTCAGGAAATATTTTGCATTCTGTTCTATTGTATCAAAGTCCCATGGATTTAAATATACTAAGTGACATATAAATCCGAACACCCAGTTTAAATGGTTTTATTTTAATAAAAGTTGGTGAATGTATTTATCTTACTGTAAATAACAAGTGTAGACACTGTGGTTAGGTGTTGTCAGGCATGGCTTCGAGAAGGCCGTACGCAAAGAGCAAGGGGCACTGGACGCCGCCGTAGAACAACAGACCGTCAAGATCGCCGCCTAAGATTATTGGCCTTAAGGGACCGTTTCTCCACTACCAGGTCCATTGCAAATGAATGATTTGCAGAACACGGAAGACCTATTGGCATGCGAAGTGTTTACCGACGAATGAGAAGTTTTGGCTTGTTTTCATACCGGCCACACTGGGTCCTCCCTTTAATTCGAGAACACCGACGTAATCGGCTTGAGTGGTGCAGACAACGGTCACTCTGGGATCAGGAATGGAACAGTATTGTCTTTAGTAACGAGTCTCGATTTTGTTTAGGCATGCACGATGGTCGTGCCAGGGTTAGAAGGCGACGTGGTGAAAGGAGGAATCCACAGTTTTTTGTTGAAAGACATGTTCATCACACTGTTGGAGTTATGGTTTGGGATGCTATAGCTTATGGTTCCAGGTCACCTTTAATCTTCATCAGAGGTAACATGAACGCGCAGCGTTATATCCACGAAGTTCTAGAACCCCATCTTTTACCCTACCTTGACACCCTGGCAGATCCAACTTTCCAACAAGATGATACCCGACAACATAATGATGTCACATTGTTACCATGGCCACCAAGATCTCCCGACTTATCCCCAATTGAGCACGTGTGGGATATGATGGGTAGGAGATTGCTCAATTTGCAACGTCCTCCTCAGACTCTAGAAGCACTTCGAGAGGAGTTGGTGGTTGCCTGGAATGAGATACCACAGGAGGACATTGACCACCTGATCAGAAGCATGCCTAGGCGCTTTGGAGAATGCGTAGCACATCAGGGTGCATCCAGACATTATTAAAGGTCAAAGGACTTTAAAGCAGTTGCTTCATTAAGTACTTATACAAAATTTTATTAAAATAAAACCATCTAAACTGGGTGTTATGATTTATATGTCACTTTGGCAAAGAAATCCAGTTTTCCAAATGAGCAGGTTTGAAATCACAGTAGTCTCACGTATTTATCGATAGATAGTATTGAAAAACAAAGCAAGCACGTAGACAATTTGAATGTTTGTGAACCAACGTGTCAAAGCATGCCTGAACATGAAAAAGGTCTACCTGTACAAGCTATTCAGCTACCATATTAATTATTGATCTAAAAAATTTGAGAAAACTCGGGACCTTATTATAACAGTAGATGTTTTCACATCGCCAGGGTGCATATATCAAAGTTCCACTTTAAATTATAGAATCAGAACAGTTATCAGTTTAGGAAAATTATTCGACTTTAAACATTTTTTGAAGCTTATTCACCAATGCCTGGACTTTTTTATTACCCTGTGCAATTTTAAGATTGCAACCGTTTCGTCTCATGTACTGGTACAAATGTTCATCCGCTTTTGTGATGTAATTTAACAAACGTGAGTATCGGTAACCGAGCTTCCGCATTGCAACATTTAAACACAGATTTAACTTACTAATTGGTGATGTCCTACATGCTTTCACCATAAGGCACGCTCGTTACCGGAGATGGTATTTTGATGGTTCAACTGAAGAACATGCAAAGGTTAATCTTGCAGTTATCCAAGACAGTTAATTAAAAAATAATAAACCTAAAAAATGCTGATTATCTGCAATAGAATCATCATCAAAAATTTAATGCGGTTCCAATCACAATTCTTGACATAAACCTCGAAAAAACATATCGACAACAAGAAATGACGGTCGATCTTCTTGGCTCCGTTTTTTTGACATTCCATCTAGAAATAATCTTGTATGCAGCTGGTGCGCATCAATGATTGCCTTTGGTACCAGTTATTACCATAAAACGTTATTAATGCCTAGAAGAACCGTCTAATGTAGGAGTGGAATACCGTCGAAGCTCACTATGAAATTCTTGTGTAACATCACCGTGAGGCCTGCAATAAAATCGAAATGCTATGTGTGAGAATTTGTAATACACGAACAGATATAGATCTTGAATGAGAACAGCTGTTAGCGTGGGAGCATTTTCGAGAAATACGTACTTTTAAATAACTAGAAGATCGTATCTCATAGCTTATAGTATGATAACATTTGGAGGTGCTCACATAATTCTTAGTCTTGCTGAGCGTTTTATGACTCGTCGAGAACAAAAGAGAGCGATATACAAATTAAACGAAATGGGCGTTGCTGCACTTGTCAAGTATATTGATAACCGTTCGGAAAGTTAGTAGGATCTGACCCGAACTTCGGCATAATCTTCGGTCAAAAAGGGCCTTCGAACTCACGACAA